AGAGCTCCTACAAATGCAGAGAACCTACTTAGAGAGGTTCCACCCACCTGATGAGGCAATCGAAATCAGCTGTACGAACGAGTGTAGGGTTTCTGATCAGAGTGTCTTTTTCAGGGGCTAGTGCCACGCGAAAAAGCGGGAAACACCCTGATCAACCTACCTATGAAGTCATTCCTTCAACTGGTGTTGACCTTTTGACCTGATCTTTCAGATAACTTTGTCCTGTTTAGCGAGGTTGGCCCTAGCCCGTTCTTGATAAATATCATTTTTGGTTAGATCTTCGACTATTTCTCGTCCCTCTCTTGTTCCCTTGTTCAATATGCTAGCGCCAAATAAGAAATTTCTAAATTCCAGAACATACGGTGATCGTTCCACTGTGGCCGATGTCATGTCCTTGAGAGAGATGGTTTGCAACGCAGGCGCTCATTTTGTGAAGGTGATTTTCCTGTTCATCGTCTGATAATTACCACTTTTCATATTGGTCAACTTTAGGTTGTTGATGATCTTCTTGATACGCTTACTGATGGCGAACATTCGAGAGCGATGGCAGAATTGAAGAAAGGAGACGTGGTGAGTTTGTTAAACAGTATTAGAATACACTGATGTGGGCGGGAAAGATGCACGCTAAATTTTTTTGAAACGCAATAGGTTTATTCGTTCATTTGAAGCTAATTTTTAGACCGGTTCCCCTGACCTCATTTATGTCTTCTATAACACTACATGAATAGGCTTCACATTCGCAATTTTTTTCGTTCTCGCTCGACACAGTGCCATTTTAAGGAGGATGTGAAACCAAGGGACACGGAGGACCTCTTGGAGTTGCTCTCCGAAGTGGAATCGCTGGAAAACCTTGGTGTGGACGTTTCTTTCGTAAAGGACATACGGGAGAATCTGTCTGTTAGTAAACCGACGGATCTTCAGGTATGGTATTGTGAGACGTCTTTTCATTAGATCCATTATTTTTGTACCTTATCATTATAAGGTCATATTAGAAGTGTGTATTAGCATCACTACAAGAAAGAATCCCTGAATCTTAAACGTAAATAGTCTCGCCAGATTTCCCCCTGCTCGAAAGTTCATGTATAACATCAAAAATTTTGTCCGAAATTGTAACTGCAACCAAAACGATGCAAACTTACCTGCCAAGACAGGGCTACTCTTATGCCTAAGCAATGAAATCCTGCTCTTGTATAGGGTGAAGGAGGCAGAAGTGTGGGGCCGTGGACTACTAAGTGACGCAGACGCAGTGAGTAAGTGACTGATTTTCGTCGGAAAAGATAATTGTACTCCCTATGGCGACGTCCACCGGTCGCAGCACCGTTGGCGAAGCAGGGCCGACGAAGAGAGTAGGAAGTAGAGGTGTTCCAGTCTAATAGCCAGCCTTCTATGTACTACATGCCACCTCCTTTATCTTGACTGCGGGGACGGGCAGAAACCATAATGTCTGAGGTGAAGTCTTCCTAAGATGTTCCCCGACCGTTGTCAGTCTTTATCAGCTGAATGACCGTCATTTCATATTCATGATATTTACCCATTTCCTACGACCTCCTTCATCCAAATTCAAGTCACGCTCTCCGCACATCACTTATTTGAACGTCCTACTGTCGTCATGACGGAACGCGGATAGTGCTGCACGCGGCTTCCATTTCAATTATTTTCGCGCACGCATGGATTTGAAAAACAGTATATCAATTGGGGTGCAATATTCCGTGCACTGCAGATCAATCTACCCATAGAATCTAATTGTTCAAAAACTGTTCAGTATTTGCAGTCGGCTCACTTATCACATCAACAACTGGGGAAAAGAACCACAACAGTTGGGGAAAGAACCAATTTCAGTCAATGTCAGTGATACGAATTAGTTCTTTCTCGGGGGTGGTTTTTAATCATTAACTATATAGTATTTTCTTCTTACTATTAGGTGTCCGCGAAAGTTCTAGAATCGTTGGTGTTTAACTTTAAACGATCATAACTTTCTTAACACTCATCGGATTTAATCCAAATAAGCACCATTCGAATCAGCACACTTTTGCCAATGTGGCAGCAGTCGAGAAATCCCATCAAAGAAAAAAACTGGGTGGTCGATCACAGAAATCTCCCCCCGCGAGGTCTTTTTTGCCTGGTCTTAATTGATGTATTTTTCAGCAAGGAAGTTCTGAAAATGTCTGAAAAGGTGACAGTCGGTTGGTGAAAGGTCTGGAGAATATGGTGGGTGAGGTAGAACTTCAACTCCCAATTCGTTCAATTTATGGATAGTGATTTGTGAAACGTGTGGGCGGGTTGTCATGCAAAAGAATCGGACCCTTTCTTTTGATAAGTGTTGGCTGCAGCTGACAATATTTTCGGAATTCGTCAGTTTGTTCAACAGGCAGGTCGGTTGGGGATGGGTGGTGGGGGGGGGAAAGGGAGGCGCTGGGTGTGATGAAAAGGTTTATATGGGAGGTGGTGACAAAGGCGGGGGGGATGACCAGGCCGAGAAACGGCTGAGGGACCAGAATTTGTTTTTGCGGCGGTAGGGGGGGGGGGTTGGGTGGCTTGATGAAGAATGTACCTCGTGGGGCCTCCAAATCACACGTAGTCCGAACTCTGCGCTGTTATCAGACGGATAAATATCATTTTTGGTTAGATCTTTGACTATTTCTCGTCCCTCTCTTGATCCCTTTTTCAATGTGCTAGCGCCAAATAAGAAGTTTCTAAATTCCAGAACATACGGTGATCGTTCCACTGTGGCCGATGTCATGTCCTTGAGAGAGATGGTTTGCAACGCAGGCGCTCATTTTGTGAAGGTGATTTTCCTGTTCATCGTCTGATAATTACCACTTTTCATATTGGTCAACTTTAGGTTGTTGATGATCTTCTTGATACGCTTACTGATGGCGAACATTCGAGAGCGATGGCAGAATTGAAGAAAGGAGACGTGGTGAGTTTGTTAAACAGTATTAGAATACACTGATGTGGGCGGTAGGAGATGCATGCTAATTTTTTTCTAACGCACTAGGTTTTTTCGTTCATTTGAAGCTAATTTTTAGACCAGTTACTCCGACCGCATTTATGTCTCCTACTACCTGGATAGGCTTCACATTTGCAAATTTTTTTCGTTCTCGCTCGACACAGTGCCATTTTAAGGAGGATGTGAAACCAAGGGACACGGAGGACCTCTTGGAGTTGCTCTCCGAAGTGGAATCGCTGGAAAACCTTGGTGTGGACGTTTCTTTCGTAAAGGACATACGGGAGAATCTGTCAGTTAGTAAACCGACGGATCTTCAGGTAGTGGTATTGTTTCAGAGACGTCTTTTCATTAGATCCATTATTTTTGTACCTTATTATTATAAGGTCATATTAGAAGTGTGTATTAGCATCACTACAAGAAAGAATCCCTGAATCTTAAACGTAAATAGTCTCGCCAGATTTCCCCCGTGCTCGAATGTTCATGTACGACATCAAAAATTTTGTACGAAATTGTAACTGCAACCAAGACGATGCAAACATACCTGTCAAGACAGGGCTACTCTGCCTGAGCAATGAAATCCTGCTCTTGTATAGGGTGAAGGAGGCAGAAGTGTGGGGCCGTGGACTACTAAGTGACGCAGACGCAGTGAGTAAGTGACTGACTTTCGTCGGAAAAGATAATTGTACTCCCTATGGCGACGTCCACCGGTCGCAGCACCGTTGGCGAAGTAGGGCCAATGAAGAGAAAAGGAAGTAGAGCTGTTCCAGTCTAATCGCCAGCCTTCTATGTACTACGTGACACCTCCTTTGTCTTGACTGCGGGGACGGGCAGAAACCATGTTGTCTGAGGAGTGAAGTCTGCCTGAGATGTTCCCCGACCGTTGTCAGTCTTTATCAGCTGTACTCATTTTCATATTCATATTTACCCACTTCCTACGACCTCCTTCATCCAAATTCAAGTCACGCTCTCCCCACATCACCTATTTGAACGAACGTCCTCCACTGTCGTCATGACTGAATGCGGATAGGTGCTGCACGCGGCTTCCATTTCAATTCTTTTCGCCGCACGCATAGATTTTAAAAACAGTATATCAATTGAGGCGCAATATTCCGTGCACTGCAGATTCAATTCTACCAATAGAATCTAATGCTGTTCAAAAAATGTTGAGAATTTACAGTCGGCTCTTATCACATCAGCAACTGGGCATAAGAACCACAACAGTTGGGGAAAGAACCAATTTCAGTCAATGTCAGTGATACGAATTAGTTCTTTCTCCTTTTTAAGATTGAACTATTAGTATTTTCTTTCTTACTAGCATTTGAACCACGTTATTGCTTTGGCGTATTCGCTCGCTCGCTGCGCTTCTTCGAAGTGAAAGATCCCAATCTTCTCAAGACCCGGACACCCTAGCACCCTAGGTGAATACGGCAACGTCCCTTTCCAGCCCCTGTCAGTTGCCATCGCTTTTTGACAGCAAACATTGATGTCCTCATCTCACCCGCTTTATGACTTGCTGAAACCAACGTTTCCCTGATGCTTTGAATCGCGCTATAGACTTAGTGACCTTTCTCTTCTCACGCCCCTTATCAAATCTGTTCAACAGCTCACAGTTCTTGTCACCAACCAATAATGTTCTTGTTCCATACCTGTATTATACCTTGGAACTGAAGTCCTGTGAGTCTTTCTGTGAACTTGGTGACCTTACCCTTCTAACACCCCTTTACCGAGCCTCTTAAAGACAGCCCCCGCGATCAAAGTGGCTC